CCAGGGGAAGCAAAGCTGCCTGCTAGAGACTTGGATGAAGGACACTCCAGGTGGAAGGGACAGCGGAAAGGCCACAGACTGTCCCCTCCTCTGGCCATGGGTGAGGGGTGGAGAGGTTGCACACCTGAGCCAGTGCAGACCCTTCCCTGAGTTCGGGCCCAGTGCACTGTCTGAGTCGCATGGCCGTGGGGAGAGGGGGTAACAGGGAAGGGGCAGAGCAACGGACCGAGACTGGGGTCTTCAGTCTCCCCCTCCCCGTCCTCCCCATCGGGTCCCGGGGGCCTCCCCTTCTTTCCAACAGTGCCGGACAATCACCACCTTCTCCAGCCACAACCACTTAGGAAATGCCAGTGATTAGCAATTGTTATCGCGGTAATTAAAATTCCCTGGGAACAGCTTGGCTAATATCCATCAGTATCTGCAGTCAGGTTGGCCGTGAGCTGAAATTGTAATGAAAACCTCGAAGCAGAGCACAGAGCCGCGGTGCCAGGGAGCAGCTGCCGCTGCCGGACGCCCCCTGCAAGTGCCGCGGCCGCCCTGCGGGTCTCTTCTCGTTAAATGGAATTTTCAAGGCTGGCTGCCTTGCCGGCCTTATCGCGGCAAACCACACGTGGGGCGCGGAGTGGGGCTCTGCAGAATCGCTCAGCTCCTCCAGCCAGCGGGTGTTGTACCGTCTGTGTGCCTGGCCTGGGGCGGGCTGGGGCATCACTCCCACCGAGGGCTTTTCCTGCCGCCGCTGTTCTTAGGGAGGGGACCGGGTGGGGATGCCAGGCAGTGGGTGATGGGCCTGGATGCGCAGAGCAGGAGTCACATGGTTAAGGCTGCTGCCTGTGCATGTTGCACAGCGGGGATCCGCCGGGAGGCAGGGGAAGGTCTGCAGATGTGCGTGGCGTAGGGGCAGGGGCTTGCCACCCCCAGCTCAGCCCAGCTGGGGTCCCCGCTCCTGGCCTCCCCAGGCTGCTCTCCCACGTGGAAGGCGTGTTCCCAAATACTGACAGTGTGACAGTGTGTTTTATGCACATCTGCCCGGGCGCGCCTCCTGCACCAGGTGGCACATCGGTGAGCTCTGACCCCCCAGTGCGGGGACTCGGGAACTGTCGCTACCCGTGTCGTCCAGGCTGGCCGGCCTCGCTGGGTGGTCGGGGTGAGCCCCCGGACCTTCCGCCTGGACTACAGCGACGGCAGCCGAGAATCAGGCCGGAAGCCCCGTTCCAGTGGACTTACAGGGAGTGGCGGGTCCACTGGGACTGCCCCCTGAACCCCGGGGAGGGGCACGGCCTGGCAGCTGGGGGTCATTGCCCCCACTGAGCATGCACATCGGGGTGAGTTGTACGAAGATGATGGGGTTTTTTTATAGGTCAAACATGGTTAAATACCGACGGTCTCATGCAAGTCAACCTGATGCTTTGGATCGCGTGTTCCTCATCCTGTCTTCCAAAATCACTTTACTGACAGGGATTTTTAGAGTGGAGGTGGGTGGGGAGATGGATTGTTGCGACAGGAGGCTGAGGCATGGCTGGTGGCTGTGACATGCCAGGGGAGGCAGGGCACCAGGGAGGAGGGGCTGGGAGCGCCACGCCTTGCACCCTGGGGCTCACACTCAGGAAGGTCCCCTGGGCACACCCTGCCTTCTCTTAATCTGAAATTGTAACATGAACTTGGGTGAAACCCCCGGGGCCACTTCCCAGGAAGGCGGCAGACAGTGGGGGGAGGGGCCGCCAACTCGTCATTCAACCAGCATTTATTGAGCACCTGTGACATGTCAGGCATGTGCCAGGAGCATGGAGATACAGGGGTGAACAGCACCCAGGGCCCGCCCTCCCAGGTGGCGGAGACTAGCAGGAGAGACAGATAAAAATGAGCGGGCCAGCCAAAACCAGCAAGCACCCTGAGTGTCCATCGACAGATGGCAGAACGTGGTACAGCCACACGGTGGATATTTTTCAGCTTCAGGAAGGAAGTTGGTTCTGACACATGCCACGACACAGGTGAACCTTGAAGACATCATGCTCAGTGAAAGAAACCAGCCACAAAAGGGCAGATGCTGTCTATATGGGTCTACTTGTACAAAGTACCTAGAATGGTCGAATTCATAGGGACAAGAAGTAGAAGGTCAGTCGCCAGCGGCTGGGGGAAATGGGAGCTGCCGTTTAATGGGGACAGAGTTTCAGTTTTGCAAGATGCAAAGGGTTCTGCAGAGTGGTGGCACAACGAGGTGAATATACTTAACACCACCGAACTGTACACTTAAAAGTGGTTAAGGTGGCAGATTTTATGTTATGAATATTTTAACACGATAAAAAATTTTTAAAAAATGTTTTTTTAAAAGGACCCTGTACATTTGTGAGCTGGAACTGTGGCCTGGTGCTGCAAAAGAGGAACAGAAGGCTGGGAGAGGGGGACTTACTGAGCGTGGGCGAGGTTCTTGGCCCTGTAACATCCTCTGTGCAGCTCTACGGTGTTTCTTAGTTTCTTCCGCTAAAGCCATGCAACAGCGAAGGGTCGGTCACGTTGCTGAGTCACCCTCCACGTTGGCCGGCCCACTGCCATCAAACAGGGCCTCGGCTGGCTGGGCGGAGGTGGGGCATACTCTCCCGTCCCCAAAGGCGTGTCCTAGGGTGGCAGGGGGACTCCATTGTCCCTCCTGCGGCACCTAACTCTGGTGACCTCAGGACCTGACAGGTGCCTCCCCGCCAAGCCAGCCAGTGTGTGGGAACTGCTCCTAAGCAGGGCCCACAGACTAGACCCTGGATGGTACCGGGAGCTCCCTACCCTGAAGACACTTACTTACGTGCCACACTGGGCTACCGCTTTCCTTCCTGGAGGGCAGCCTGACCACATATGCCATCATCTAAACATACACACATTTCTTGCCCCAGCAGTTCCACTCTGCAGGATACAGCTCGAACATTCTTAATGGAAAAGCTCCAAATCTGAAATGCTCCCAAATCGGAAACTTTCGGAGCACTGACATGGCGCTGGAAGGAAACACCCACTGGAGCATTTGGGATTTGGGATTTTGGGGAATTTGGGATGCTGAACCAGTAAGTATAAGGCAAACATTCCAACATTTGAAAAGCTCCGAAATCTAAAACACTTCTGGCCCCTGGCATGTTGGATACGGGATACTCAACCCGTATTTCCTAAGGCAGTAAGTGACAGCTGTCAGCTGAGGGGCGTAGCAAGGCGATGGCCGCAGCGCTGCCTGTGGGAGTGGAAAATTGGAAGCAATTTAAATGTCCGTCAGCGGGGGGGCTGCATTAATTAAGTTTAATAAATTCAAACTGTGGAGCCATTACAAATGGTGGAGACAATTACTCGCCTGGAACGATGGCTGTGGTGCTAGTGCGGTGGGGCGGAAAGCAGGCTGCACCCACGTTGTCCTGTTCTTCGAAAAGCAAGAACAGAATCGTGTGTGTGGCCAGGAAAGGACGTGGGGACCTCACACCGCTGTGGTAAGCAGGGCCTCTCTGTGCGGCAGCGTCATGAGCCACCTGCGGTTTCTTCGTTTTACTCCTCTACTGCCCTAATATTGTATGCTCTGAGGGGTACCCAGGCCTGCGCTCGGCAGCAGGAAGCCAAGCGTGCCCCTTGCCGGCGCCCCGGGACCCCCGTGGCCTTGCCGTGGCCCCATTGGACTTGGGCACCTGTTCTGAGAATCCCCGCAGCAGCTCTCCAGGGTCAGGGTGCCCTTGGGGGCTGCTGTTTATTTCTCCGTTGTCTTCTTGTCCGGCACTTCCTCTCCCTCTGGGCTTCCGGCCTGCGGGATGCTCAGAGTCCATGGGGACGTCTGACCCGCTGCGGACATGGTCACCAACTCGGCCACAATTGAGCGAGCATCTGGTGAGCATCTGTAAACTGCTGGGGTGAGACCAAGGCCTTCAGGGTGGCTTAGAGGCCAGCAGGAGGGCATGCTGGCTTTGGGCGAGTTACTGAACTTACTGGGTCCTCAGTTTTCCCGCCTGGAAAGTGGGGATAGTAACAACGCTTCCCCAAAGCCCTGTTATCACCAGATGCTTCTGGGAGTTCGGTGGCTGGGGTGGTAGACGGGTACCTGCTGGTATTCGGCAACTGAGAAGGCCCATCCTGGCGGCCTCAGGCCTCAGCCCAGGGAGGCGGTGCAGGTGGGTCACTGTCATGGGCGGAGCCAGCAGAAACTCTGCCGTGCCTCGGGGCTCCTGGGCTTCAGTTTTCAAGGCCTGGGCGGTGGCTCACGCCTGTAATTCTAGCACTCTGGGAGGCCGGTAGATTGCTTGAGGTTGGGAGTTCGAGATCAGCCTGAGCAAGAGTGAGACCCTGTCTCTACTAAAGATAGAAAGAAATTAGCCAGACAACTAAAAGTATACATATATATGTAAATTAGCCGGGCATGGTGGCGCATGCCTGTAGTCCCAGCTACTCGGGAGGCTGAGGCAGAAGGATTGCTTGAGCCCAGGAGTTTGAGGTTGCTGTGAACGAGGCTGACCCCACGGCACTCTAGCCTGGGCAACACAGTGAGACTCTGTCTCAAAAAAAAATAAAAGGAACTTTTCCATCGGGCTGGAAGGGGCTAGGGTGGGCAGGGGTTTGAATAGGCGTCGTGGAGGATTCTGAGTGGTGGAGGACACAGGCGGTAAGAGAGGCGGCAACGGTAGACGGTTGCATGAGCGTGTCCCGCGTGCCAGGCCTGTACTGAGGGCTGTCCACCCGTTAGCCACTGAGGTCCCCGCTCCGCACGAGGGAGACGCGAGAGCAAGGGGTTGTCTTTAAAGCAGGGTGTGGAGAGTTCCTGGGACTTAGCTCCTGGCTGTCCTGAGTCCTGAGAAGGTAGGCCAGTGACCGCCCTGGGCCATCAGCCAGGGAGGGTAGTGCCAGACCTGCCATCGCACCCTGCTCTTAGCGCCCCCGTCCCTCACGTCCAGGGAAGGACTCTTGGGAGGCCGGGCCCGCCGGGCACGCAGCACAGAGTGGGGGGGCGCCGCTCTGCACCCTGTGGCTCTAAGCAGTTGTCTCCCCCCAAGGTCTGGAAGAGGTCGGGGGCCTGGTTCTACAAAGGGCTCCCCAAGTATATCTTGCCCCTGAAGACCCCCGGCCGGGCTGAGGACCCCCACTTCCGCCCCCTGCCCGTGGAGCCAGCAGAGCAAGAGCCCAGAAGCACTGAGACCAGCCGCGTCTACACGTGGGCTCGAGGGAGAGGTAAGTGCCCTTTGCCCTCTGCCCCCGGGGATGGCCTCTAGCATCGGGCTGCTGGCCGGGCTGCCCACAGGCACAAGGCCAGCCCCCGCCATACCCCTGCGTGGCTCCTCCTGGCACCTGGTGCTGCATCCCGCCCTGCACCCTCCGTCCCCAACCTGCACCCGGGCGAGCTCCGACCTCCAGCAAGAGGTTGTTCGCCCTGGGCAGAGGGTCCCCCGGGGTCGCTTCACAAACAAAAACCCTACTTTGGGGCCAAGGATGCTGTGAGTGGCACTACAGGTTTTTGCAGAAATGTCGTGCCAAGGGAGATTTTTTTCGGAAAAGTGTAAAAATGCGTCTTTCCCAGGCGGGCCCGTGACCGTCTCTTCCCGGCTCTTGTCTTGCGTCTCTGTAAGGGAGGACGCCTGGCTTCCCGGGTCCTAATGAGCAAAGTGACTCTGTGCCAGTGCCCCGTGGTGTTTGTGGTGGCTGCACGGAGCTGTGTGTGTCCCAGGTGGCCACCTTCAGAAGGTGAGCCCCGCCCCACCTGGAAGGTAAGATGGCACCTGGTGCTGTGGGTTGCTCTCCACGGCTTTCTCGATGCTTTAATGTCACGCATGGCTTTACTTTCAACGTTCCTGGTCTCACAACAGGCGCAGGAGGTGGACAGGGCAGGCATCGAATAGGCCCATTTGATAGGTGGGTGTCCTGAGGCTCAGAGAAGAGGAGGGACTACTCAGCCGGCGTGCGGCAGAGCTGGGACCCAAACAGGCCCTCGCCCGCTGGGCTCTGGGTCCTTCTGTCCTGACGTGCCCACGTTTCAGCCCAAGAGTCCTAAACAAGACAGCAGCCGGGAGGTGCTGGGGTGAGGGGGCTCATTCTGATAATGGCTCATCTCGGGCGAGGTGGACCCACGAGAACAGTCCTGCCGGCTGCTCCCATGGGGCTTCCTAGAATCTTTGTCTTCCGATTATGACCTGACATCTGACTGTCTTTGTGCCATTTGGACTTTTTTTTTTTTTCTTGTTACAAAAGTAATGTATGTCTGTTATAAAAATCTAAAGGTTGTCAAGCAATACATTTTAGAAAGTAAAAGTCCCCTACAGCCGGGCACGGTGGCTCACACCCGTATTCCCAGCACTTTGGAAGTCTGAGGTGGGAGGATCATTTGAGGCCAGCCAGGGCAACATAGCAAGATCCTGTCTCTACAAAATATTAAAATATATTAGCCAGGAGCGGTGGCATGTGCTTATACTCCCAGCTACTCGGGAGGCTGAGGCAGGAGGATCGCTTGAGCCCAGGGCTTTGAGGCTGCAGTGAGCTATGGTGATGCCATGGCACTCCAGCCTGGGTGACAGCGTGAGACCCTGTTTTTAAAACATAAAAAATTAAATATAATAAGTATATAAAAGTCCCCTGCGAGTCGACCGTTCCAGACAGAACTGGCATTAACGGCCGGGTGTCTCTTGCCCAGGTGTTTTCTCCTTGGAGTCACTTGGCCCTTTTCCCAGCAGCCTGTCCTTGCTGATTCTACTGGACCCTGTTTACCCGTCTGACTCCCACGAGGTCACCCTCCCTGACATCACGGCCAACACACACATTTGTAGGGAGCACGGGGGGCGGACGGCAGGTGTAGACAGGGCAGGTAAGGGGCTCCTGAGGGTGGGCCCTGGCCCAGGGGGCGCTGTGGCCCTGTCGCCTCCACCCTTCCCTTTGCCATCTCAGGCTGGGGCCGTCTCCTGCTGAGCCCTGCAGGGGTGCGTCCGTGCCCCTCACACTGGGGAGAGACGGGACCGTGGACTCAGAAGCTGGTGGAGCCCGGCAGGTTTAGGACGTTGCTTGCAGCCAGCTGAGGGGGAGGGGCCTGAGGCCTGCGGGGGCAGCGGCGGCCCAAGCCCCCACCCCCAGGGCCGTCACTGCCCATCTGCTCCGGGTCAGCACGTGCACACACCCAGCCATGCAGACACAGATGGCCTCTGAATTACGTGGGCGAGGAGGCCAGTGGCCCCACACACTTGCGGTCCGCACGCTGATGAACCCGGGCTGGACAACACGGAGGCTCCTCGTGGGAGTGCGTCCTCCCCCGGAGGCCCTGGCTGCAAACCCCCCGTGCCCCCCCCATGCCAGGCACGTGGCAGCCCTACAATTATCCGGGTGGCCTGACTTGCATGACGTGTGTCAGCCCACGGACAGTGGGACGGTGAGGGCTGGTGGCCAGGGTGGTTGTGGCGTCTCGGGAGGCGTCTGGGGGCGCAGCGGGATGTGTGGGTGTGGTGGGGTGGGCAGGACTGAACCTGGGGAGGTCCAAGGTCATGGGGCGCAGGGAGGGGGAGAGCTGGGCGGGGGAGGAGCTGCCTGGAGGCAGGAGAGAAGGGAGAAATTCTGTCCCACAGAGGCCAAAGCGCCAGCTTTGCAGGGAGGAGTATGGAGGCGCACGGAGGCGACTGTCCTAGCTGCCTCCAGGCCCCTCCTGGGTGGCTGCGGTCCTCTCTCAATCACCTGTGCACAGCAGCAGTCCCAAGCAGGGGGGTGGGAGGAGCCCTCCATGGGCCCAGCCCCTGCTGGCCCTTCCGTGGCTCATGGAGGTCCATGTGGCTTCGTGATGAAGTCTGTGGCAGTCCTTGGAGGACTCAGCCGTGGCTGCCTCCAGGAAGCCCCCAAGCTGCCAGGGGTTGCCGCTGGGTCCCTGTCCTTCGCAAGTGCGTCTCTTCACCGCTGTCAGGCTCCTGCAGAAGATGGCCCTCAGCGGTCACTGGCGCGAGGGGCGTCACTGGGCCTGCCTAGTGCACGGCCGACTGCAGACCCATCGGTGTTTTTCCAGCCCCCGGAGTGGCTCCCCCACCCTAGCCCTCCATCCGTGGTGCCCTGGTGCCAGCAGCTGGCAGGGCTCGGCAGTAGCTGTGGTCCACGCCAGGGCTGTCCGCAAGCCAGCCCCCACGGCACCACACTGAGCCCAGACCGAGCTGGGGAAACAAAGAGCGACCAGCATTGAGGCGTGGTCCCCCCCACTGCCCTGCATGGCAACTGCATGCAGGCAGGCCACACCCGTCCTGAGCAGGCAGGTCTCAGCACGTAGCTCGGGAGGCATGGGATGGAGGCTTATTGGATGGATGGATGGATGGATGGATGGATGGATGGATGGATGGATGGATGGATGGATGGATGGATGATCTACCCACTCCAGGATATTTGAAAAGCCTGTGAAGGGTTTCACTAGATCTGGCAAGCTCCTCAGGGTCAGGGGTCTGCTGGGCAGCCCCAGGAGATACTTAGAAGCTGTTAAAACCGCCCTGCTCTCGTGAAGCAGACCTCCTGGCCCCCGCCTCTGAGGACCCCCGGAGCCAGCATCCTCCTCCCGCCCTGAAATCCCCCTCCCTGGCTTGGAGTTGATCATGCCACCAGCTCACTCTCTCCGACCTCTTCCCCACTCGGATCTCCTCCAACATCTCTCATCATCTCTCCTCTCTCTCTCTGTCTCTCTGTCTCTCTCTCGGCTCCCCTCCTTCCTCCTCCTCCTCCCTCCCATCTTTTTCTTCTCCCTCTCAGCCATGGGTTATGCACCTGCGGTCTTAATTCTCCTCCCACCCCAGCCACCCCATTTTCCTTCTGTGCCCTGTTGGAATAAGAAGCGTCGTTCAGTAGATACAGGCCATGAGCAGTCAGGTGAAACACATTGATGTTTCTGAGGTCCCTTTCTTCCTCCTTTAAATTTTGTTAATCACGTAAGAATGCATGATATACTTTGGCCAGTTAAGTCAAAATGCATGGAAAAAGAAAAATCTCTCCTACGCCATCATCTCCAAACCCTTTCCCCTCTTTCTACTAAATGTACACATGCGTGATAAAGGGATTTCTTCTTCTTCTTCTTTTTTTTTTTTTTGCTTTTAACAACAAAAATAGGCTCTTACCTATTACTCTGCATGTTTTTTTTTTTTTCACTTAAAAGAATACCATGGACATCCCTCCAGGCCCATAGATATAGATTTTTACCTTATTCATTTTAATGGCTGAATAAAATCCCATAATATAGTATATTGTGATTTAATTATTCACCTGTTGATGGATATTGAGACTGTTTCTAGACCACCATAGGCGATACTGAAATGTCTTTATATGGATAACCCTATGCTTTTATTTCTGTGGGGTAAATTTCCAAAAGTGGAGTTGTGTGTTTTGAATTTAAATAGACATTCCCAAACTATATTTCCAAAACGTTCTAGTCACTTACACTCCTCCAGCAAGACTGCCCACTTACCTGCATCCGACTGGCCGTGAATATTATCGATATTTATAATTTTGGCCAATATACTGGAATGAAAATGGTATTTGACTGTTTTAATTTAAACATCCACATGTTTATTATTTATTGAATATTTAAATCCTCTCTTTTAAAACTTGTTCAAATCCATTGCTCATTTTTAATCAAGTTGCTTATTTTCTCTTATTGAGTTATAGGTGCTCCTTATATGTTAGGGACATTAAAGGGGTGGCAAATATTTATCTCCTTGTTTGACTTTGTATGACTTTAGTCTCTGCTTATATTAATAGTAGCTTTGGCCATTCAAAATCAATTTCTTTTAATTTCCGTGAAGTCAAGTGTGTCCGTCTTTTGCTTTATGGTTCCTAGGTTTCTTACCTTGCTTTGAAATGTCTTCTTCATGCCAAAGTTTTAAAAAACTTATGTTAGATAAAAGTTTAAGTAATATGAGAGGAAGTAATATCAAAGGAAGTAATATAAGTAATTTAAGTAATATAAAAGGAAGTTACTTAAATATAAAAATCTAATAGCAAATATCATATTAACAGACAAAGCACCAAAATGTAAGTCAGGAATACCCCAGCAGTACCGTCATTCAATAGTATTTTTTAGTTTTTAACTTGCATAATAAGACAAGAAAATAAAATCTGTTAATATTGGAGAAGAAGGAAAGAAGTCCTCTTATTTTCAGATGATATGATCGTGAACCAAAAAATACTCAAGAGATTCTACTGAAACAACCCACTAGGGTTAATAAGAAAAT